TCAGCACCACCAATATGCAGTGCAAGGTAAGATGAATTTCCAACTCCAAGTAACACATCACCAAGGAACCCAGGCAGGGTGTGGCGCACCGCCGACAGACGTGACATCCCGACATATATGTTCAATTCCCGAGCAATGTGCCTGAGTCTGAGCAGTTTATCTGCCGGATGGTAAGCCGTTATATGACCCAAAATGCTTGGTACCAATTACAAGGACTAAAATGCATTTCAAACGCAGCAATGCCTTATAAACCCCACTAGCTTGCGGAACCTTGCAAGACCTGAGGTGCCGTTTAATGCTAGACGAAACTTCACCGGGTTGGTGGGACCTTCCAGTGGATTATGGGTATTGTAAGGCCTTGCGCAGGTCAGATTTTGGTGATGGACGCTCGGGAAAGTTGTTTCCCGGGGTCCTCGGGGAAGTTGGGAACAATTCAGTAGGAGGTCTATCCTGGTTTGCGTAGAGGTGGCGTCCCGTTCGTTCTATTTTCGATGAGCGGCGATACCAAATGGTGCCGTACGAAGGGGAGCTACGAGCGCCAGTCGTGCCAGATGTGGACTGTTCTATTTTAGCATGGTCTACGTTTTTTTTGAGCTCTGCCTCCTATAGTCAAGTTGCTATGCTCGGAATCAACGCGGAGGATTTGCACCGCGTCAAGTGAAAATCGGACACTGGCGTGGCGGGACGACACCAGGCTACCGACCATCGCGTCATGATGCTGGTCCGATCCTTATCTGTTAATCTGGTCAACGTTCCAAGACACCGTTGCCGCAACACACAGGGCGACATTATAAGCAAGTAGTGCGGGCGGTCAACGGGAAACGAAAACCAGCCACTCTACAGCGCTAAGGGAATACGTGGTTCTGCTCAAAATCTGATCCCGACGCCAGCACCTTGCCTATTTTAAACTGCATACTGGTCAGCCAACACAGAGGCAGCAAGGATTTCGTGGACCGTCGTGGCGGAACATTTATCGTTAAATTCATTGTTATTGACACTGAAGAAGGTTAAGGCTGCCAAGTCGGAATTCGAGGTGGTGCACTGAGTCGGGGGGAGCGCGGCAAATCAGATGCGGAAAGTGACAGATGACGGGAAACAGGTACTGAGGCCGCGTAGTGGCGCCATTGTAAACAGTGAGATAAATTGAACAAGAATGTGAATAAATAGCGGCTCTGAAGGTCTCATCGTAAAGAATCCCATCATGTATCTGCCGCCGATAATCGAAACCGTCAACCTCGCCCTTCTTTGGTTGGCTCCCACTCCACTCCACTCCACCCACTCCAGGTCTAGAGCGCCGATCTCTGCACGTTCAGGACCCCCCACCTTATCCTGCTGTACGGGACGACTTCCGATGCCCCACAGGATATTCACCGAGCTTCCTGCATAACACTTACACGTATTATGGCCCATTGAAAGAGTTCACGGACATCACAGGATCCTTCTTCCACGTCCAGTGGTATGTGCGTAACATTTCGGCCAAGCGTATTCTCGTCCGCTGTCTAACACAAATCCGCAGGGCGACGCCACTATCAACAAAACGACTGGCACAGACAACGTCCCCGGCGCAACACGCACGGGAAGTTTCGGCGGCAGCCCGTTCAATGAGACGTTGACAATGTACCAGGGACGCTCGGATGCGGTGTCGTACACGATCCACGGAATTTGCCCTTGACCATCGCGCAGCCCAAGCAACGGCCCCTTCATGTTGTCAACTACGCGGAGACGAAGCGCTTCGAGAGCATTTGCAGTGGGAAAGCCACGTACATCGATTTTATCACGTACCTTTGCACCGATGATCAGGCGGCTGCGTATGGCCTCTTTTACAACGTTCATATGACGACGTTGCAAAATCTGGCTCCACCATTGGGACGACGGTCCTCGCCGGGGATTGTCCTGGTATGCAGCAATATCCTTTTGGACTCTCCATTACATCTGACAGTCGCGACAGCCGAAGGATCTTATCATAATTAACATCAACTTCCCGCTAATGATGAGGCAATCCTTATCGCTTCGGATCTCGGGTTTCACCCTTTAATTGTCGTCAAGTCTCAACGAGTTATTTAAAGATGTGTATTAATTTGAAGCATGTCTTCGCTGCGTCTTTCATTTAAACAGAATATATACCGTGTATTAATTTGAAGCATACCTTCGCTTTGTCTCCTCTACCAGGAATATATTGATATATTTTAACGTCAGATCGAAAATAGTGTGTTAGTGAGAGGAACTAGATAATTGGCGTCACAACTCACCGCGAGGTAACCCGCCTGAATTTAGCGTGTCCGACATGCGTTGGGGCGATTAATATTGGGGCACTGAAAAAAAAAAAAAAACGATGAGTGTGAAGCGAATGCAGGTGGGCAACTGCAGCATGTTGGGCATGGCTCGGGAGATAGAGGTCATACCGCACCGGGTTATTGACATACCAAAAGATTGAGGATTGAGGGCTTTCCGGTGCTGCCCAGTACCAGTATCATATGACTACGAACTTTGCTCGCACGCGGGAGAGCCGAGCAGAATAAGGAACACAGAAGAGCGCGGGGTCGCGGTGCGGACGTCAGTAATACGGAGCTCGCCTCTATGGAGAAGTGCGCACGAGATCGCTCAGATGAGCCAAGGATTACTGCCTAAGCCAAAAAAGAACGTGTAAAAATTAGACATGGCGGAATCATGCATCAGGTCCAAATCTAGAGAATCAGGACGGCGGGATGAAGGAGAAGGGGTGTGTGGTGAAGATGTGTGAGAGGCAGACCTACCGCAGCGTCCAGGGACACCAACCCAAGTCAATCTCGCGTACAGCAAACTGCATGTCTTGGTTCACCATGGGATGCACAGCGAGAGGTGAGCGGGGACAGTCGATCCGAGGGGCGCGCAGGTCCGATTGCACACGCGCGGCGGCGTCGTCATACTCGAGACAGTCGGGTGAGTTGGACACGGACGTGGGATTAGGTGCCGTTCAAAGGGGATTTGTGCCGAGTTGGTGTGTGCCGGGAGACCCTGAAGGCACAATTGCAAACCCGCGAGGCGAAAGCTGGAAGAAGAAACTTTGGGTATTGCAAGATTATTCGGGCCTAACCAGGCGTGGCAGGCGTCCTGGCGGAGGGCGCTCGGCCCAACGCCGCCCATCGCAGCTGAGATCTAACGAACAGCTGGTATCATTCGGTCCGCATCCGATGAACTGGGCAAAACATTGGGACCGCGCCTGAGAAGCACAAGAATTGGGTTGTGTTGGCCGTGCTGGCGGAAGGAAAGGAGGTGTGGCGGTGCGGCGACTCGGACGACATTGGTGCTGATACCTAATAGCGCCACATACTGACACATGCACAGCTTGCCACCATTGTCTTCAGACTCCGAGCAGAGGCACGGCTGCCTTCCGTCTGTCACATTTTTCCCGCTCAAATTCGGCCCTTTGTGCTTGTCCGATAACCGCTGGCGCCAAAGTCCGTCCAACTGGCAATGGCCCGCGGGCCACCGTGCCGTTCTTAAAAACTACCCTCTAAGCCATTAACCCGCAAAGCCCGTCTGCGCTCGTCCAAACTCCGCTGTGCCATTCTTGAAAACTACCCTCCTACGTCATTGGCCCGCACTAAATTTCGCTGCTCGTTCTTCCCATCGGCTTTGCATCGGCTTCAAGTTCTCCATTCTTTCGTATCGCATTTGTCTCGATACGTATTTTCGGATCGAGTTACTTTGGAACCGAGCTGTGTTTTGGTTTCCTGTCTTGGTTGGAGGAGATAGTGGGCGCATCCCGATTATCTGGGCTCTCACCATCTGCATTCAGATGATTTACAAGTGCGTTCGCTGGCGATGGCTCTGGTCCCGCAATTGTTGGTGGCGGTATTATGCCGTAGTTCCCTTTTTCGTGGAATCCAAGCTCTGTGAATCACGTCTCCGCTCTCTTCTTCGGGTCGAATTCTCCGACGTGGACCGCTCCCGACTGCTGAATCTCTGGCTTGCTTCATGCGTTTTGGACTAGCTCCCGTCTTTCCCCGGGCGCTTCTACCTTCTCCAACCCGACACCACTCCGGACTATCCGTTCATCATGCCACATATGCACAGGGACGTCTATTCGGTGGATTCACGGAGCCAGTGAGCGGCGTAGTTTGAAACGTAATGGAGAACTTCTTTTTATATTATTACGTACAGAGAGACACCGCAATTCATCATGGTCCCACACGTTTTGCAAGGGATGGCTCGGCATTCAAATGGGTGACGAGGTCATTGTCAGTCCTGAATCAATCAATGGGTACGAGGATTCATGCCTCGGCTGGGCAATTCGTCTGTTAACACGCTGCTTGCTCCCCGCTGCACCTCGGTCATTGAGTCCGGTGAATGTTCACGCGTTCACGCATGCTTCGCATTCCTGTCGATGAATGCAACACGGGTGGGGAAGGGTTTAAACAGGCAATTTCACCTGAATCCAAGTATTCCATTACCGATGAGGTTGAATAGGGAGGAGTCGTTGCCGGCAATGAGTGCGTCTGCTGCCGCATTGATGTTGAATAAATAAAGGAGCTCTCGCCGAACGTTCTTAGCAAGCTTGATCCGGCCTCGTTGTTCTCATATTCATAGTGCATTTTGAATCACCTTGTATATTACCATTCATAAATTCTGTCCTTTGCTTGCGAGCAGAATGATTCTTTGGGTGCATTCTTTACCGGGATACAACCGGGGAAGTGAGGACTGATGGAGGGCTCCCGGTTCGGCAGTTTGCTGGTGCAGAATCTTTGGGCACGGCAGGGAGAGCGAATGTTGAAGGGTCAGGATTCAAAGACTCAATTCATCCCCCGATTTCAACCGAATTATCCCGCAACAGAAGTAAGTCAAACAAGACCCAGTTGCACAAGGTGCATCTGCACTCAGTAGCGAACCTGAAGAACCACCTTGCTGCAGAAAGACCTGGTTCGACTCCAGGCTTGGTCATAGCGAGAAATTGCGATCATTTTTTTTCCACCTTGCCTCAGATGGGCAATGTATTTAGAGGATAGAACTGGAGAGAATGAGGCCCAGTCGCACTTGGTGTGCATCTGCTTTCAATGCAGGACGTGGTACAGATTGAAGCAGAAAAACCTGGTTCGAATCCAGGCTGGGTCATTTGAAGGCTGTAAACCTTTTTGCCCCAATCCTCAGCCGATTTTAGCCCAGTTATTATGGAACACATCTGAGGAAATAAGACCCTGTAGCACTTGGTGTGCATCTGCTTTGATTACTGAGCTCGCTTGATGAAGTTACGGCAGAAAGACCTGGTTCGAATCCAGGCTGGGTCGTGGCATAGGAGAATGACAATGACTTTTTCTGTTTCTTTGGCTAATTCCTCAGCCGATCTCAACCCAGTAATATTGTAGCAGTAGAGCAAATAAGACCCAGTGGCACTTGGTGTGCATCTGCTCTCAATAGACCTATCGCAATGCTGTAAAATTAAAGCAGAATAACCTGGTTCGATTCCAGGCCGAGTCATAGCGGGATAAACATGTTTTTTTTGCACGTTGCTCGCAAAGTACATATATTGTACAAGATCCAGACAGGAGGAAATGAGACCCGGTTGCACAAGGTGTGTATCTGCCTACAATAATTGAGACCTCTTAAAGCAGAAGGAACCTGGTTCGACTCCAGGCTGAGTCATAATTGGCTACTGATGATCTCCTTTTTGCGCTTTCGGCACAAATTATTAGACAATTTTAACGCAGTTACCCTGGAGCAAAAGTTGGGAAATAGGACCCAGTTGCACAGGGTGCATCTGCTTTCACTGTACGAGATGATGTCAGATGCGAATTTGAGTGGACAAACCTGGTTCGACTCCAGGCTGGGTCATAGCATTTGGTACTCCATTAATTTTCTTTTTCTTTTTGGCTTTTCAAGAGTCATCGGCCAATTTTGCCCATGCTATACAGCAAAAGAAGTATGGGAAATAAGACTCCGTAGCACTTGGTGTGCATCCGCATTCAGTGTTTGATAATCCAGAGAATCAAAGCAGAAGGACCTAGATCGAATCCAGGCTGGGTCATTGAGACATCCCAATGAACTCCTTTTTGCCCAACTCATTACCAGATTTCATAGCAGTTATACTCCGACATGAGTAAGGGAAATAAGACCTGATCGCACTTGGTGTGCATCTGCCTTCATTGTCGAACTCGAATAAAGAATTACAGCAGACAACTGGTTCGAATCCAGGCTGGGTCATGTAAAATGTGACCTGAATCTTTTTCCTTCATGCCAATCACTGGATTTTTCATCCAGCTCTACTGGGACAGAATATAACGGAAGCAAGACCCAGTTGCATGCGGTGTGTATCTGCTTTCATTATCGGTGACCATCCAATTAAATTACGGCAGACAACTGGTTCGACTCCAGGCTGGGTCATAGACCAGGTTTGTCCACATATTTTTTTCGAACATCGCCTCTAAGGTGCATATGTGGCAGAAATCCAATGGCAGGGAAAGAGATCCTGTTGCACAGAGGTGTGTATCTGCCTTCAGTATTATTCCAGGGGAAATTACTGTAGACCAACCTGGTTGACTCCAGGCTGGGTCACTCGAATTTTGCAATCGGTTGCTTTTTACATAAGTTGCCGGCAAATTTTATCCCACTTGTCCTGGAACAGAAGTAGGTCAAACAAGCCCAGTTCCACGCAGTGTGTATCTCCCTTTAGTTCTGGGTAATAAATCAGATTAAAGCAGGAAGACCTGGTCCGACTCTAGGCTGGGTCATTCAATCGGGCTGACACCTTTTTTTTGCTGCCTTTGTGGCCAATTCATTACCAAAATTTTCCCACTTGTACTCACTGCGTTCAAAGAGGTCCTAGACTGAGTCCTGCATGGACCTACACTCAGTTTGTAAAGGTGTGTGTAGGTTCTGGCAAGGTGAGTTTAGGCGGCAAACTCCAGGCTCAGCCCTTTGACATGTCCCAAGTTGTACCAGTCTGTCTACAGCATAGTGCTTGCACTAAGATTTGCTGTTGTAGGGCAGATTGGTAACGAGTCTACAACGACTTGGTCATGAGCGTCAAGCAGCTTGCATTGGGCCCCGAGACCTATCCGAAGAATCTCACTGAAATCTAATCTGTTGAGAATGTACAATTTTTTTTTTTTTTTTTTTTGGGTTTTTTTTGCAGACCCCTAACTATTGACATCCCCAGTTGGCGATTTTTTCGCCCCCATCACGTGCCGCTCAAGCAATTCGTGTGAGACTGACCAGTTTCAATAAGTGTGAGCAAGCCCTTTGTTGCCTTGCCGGTAAGAGAGAAGGGACGAATTTCACACGTCAGTGTCAGATCGCTGTCAGATGACGGCAAGCCGCCGTGAATGGCGCACAGGGCGGCATGAGTCCGGAACGGCTAAGCCGACTGTCTCAGAGGGCGTGGACGAAATTTGACAGTGAGACATCAAAATGGCGCATGCAGGGACAGCGGAGTTTAAAGAGCTTCAGATATGCGCAATTTTATAAAGAGGGTAAATTCTCGTTCAGAAGATCAAAATCTGTCGGTTCTTAATGACAGTTGGAAAACTCGGCTGTGTAGGCCAGTGTAGGCTGGGAATAACTCTTCAAAGACGGAGCGGTGCCCAAGTAGTCACGCGCTCTGCGCTGATCCCACGCACCCATGGTAGGCTCAGCCCTTACCATCCCGTTCAACATTGACAATGATTGTGGGAGGCCGGCAAGCGGCGGGTCACAAATAGACTTGGAATTTTGTTTTCAGAGACCTCTTCTAAATTTTGCTAGGTCAACGCTGATCTGGTCCAATTGAGACCAGTTGGTTGGCGAATAAATTGAACAATTTTAACGGATCACGACTAAGTTTGGTCGAGCTTACTCGTTGAACTTATTGGTGTTGGAAGGAGGATATTAGTCATCGCTACCATATATGTACTCGGCCCCTTTGTGTCAAATCCAGTCCCTTCTTGACTGTATACTGTACCACCACCATCTTAACAGGTTATGGGCCCCGACTTCCCTAGCTTCGCTCTTGCTGCCCTTCACTCTTGCCGTTCATTGCAATGAGTCGACCTTGATCTTGATGACTCTGATTATTTGACGACCGCATCTTCTTTATTTGACTGACGACGACCTCGACTTTGACTTTGACCAGACGACCGAGAGACCTTTGGGAGACGACCCCCCAGAGGACGACCACTCTCAGAGAAGGACCTGTGGGAGACGACCCCGGGATGACCACCTTCTATGCGAAGGACCTGTAGGACTCCAAGGGGAGACGACCACCGACAAGACGACCACCTTCGAGAAAGACCCGCGGGAGACGACCCCCTCGCAGGACGACCACTTTCTAACCGACTTGATTTGACTCTTACCCGACCCGACCTTATTTCTTCATGACCTGTGACCGACATTTAGCATTTTTCTGTGGGGCATTTTGTGCTTCACCTATTCCTCGACCATCGTTGACCCCGAACGTGACGTGACGACAATTCGATCTTCCTAAATCCAATTGACCCCTATCCGTCCAATCTGTCTGCGTTTCTCCGTTTCGACCCGACCCACCCGATTTTCTTTCGACCATGCTGCTGCCCGTGACAGTGGGTTAGTTTCTGGGACGTGTCCAAGTTGACGCGTTGATTTGATTTCCCCGCCATCGTCGATTTCCAATTGACATTCTTCCGACCGCGACGTTCGATCGTTGTCCGACCGACATATAGCTATTTTGCTGGTTTTATTATTTATTTTGTGCCTCGTACGGCCGTTGCGATGAGGGGGAGTGTTGGAAGGAGGATATTAGTCATCGCTACCATATATGTACTCGGCCCCTTTGTGTCGAATCCAGTCCCTTCTTGACTGTATACCACCACCATCTTAACAACTGGCCAATTCAAGACATACATTTCTATTGAACTCACTAAAAGATTTATAACATAGCTCACATTGAGGGATGGTTACAAGACGGGTAGAATATTTCCATCCAGTAAAGGGTGGGCCGAGAAGGCCCGGAGCAGTGTCAGCGCTATTAGCAAATCAGGTCACGTCTTTTGTGGCGACATTTTTGCTACTCTAAGCACAAAAGAACTAACGTTCTATTTGTGAATGTACACTAAATGACTTGCAGGCACCTACTACAAGCCATTTCTTGGCCTATCTTCCGCTTATGGCACGTCGCAAAGTACATCGGTACAAGTATTTTATCTAATAGCGATTCCAGATCGACTCTCTGGCTTATGGTCAGACTCTGTTCTGTTCATGCGGAGATTGTCTGCATAGCTCACCATCTCCAGGCGTGTACTCCACCCTCTTCTTCCAGTCCGTGCACATCCTCCTGAGCCGGCGGCGGCACAAATACAAATTCTATTTAATATGCATGATCACGCTCTTCCTCCTCTCAACCCTCCACATCGCGCTCTCATGGGCATGGGCATTCATCACCGACACCGCTGACACCGCAATATACGAAGTGATCTCCTTGGAGGACCCGCCGCCGGATTTGTATGGCCTTGACGATCCTTACTCCCTCCACTGGATTGCCACCCTTATTAAGGTGCGCTACCTGATGGCAAAGTGAGTATCTGTTGCTCTTTCCTGCTTCCTGGATAAGAAAGGTGTTCATAAATGCGTATTATTAGTGCCATTGCGGATGCCATTATTGTAAGCTGCACGATGGTCCTCGGCTTCTGGATAAAGAAAATTGAGATCTTCCAACAGATCTATCGGTGCTATGTGATATGGGCGTACAACCGCCGCGTCATCGCCCTCCCCGCCTTTGGCTATGGGTGTACCATCGGTGAGTGTCGCGCAAATCACAAAACTATGCTATAAATTTGTATAAAGTCGCGGGTGTCATCAGCCTCCTTCCCCTCTCTCGAACAGCCACGCGGGCGGCCTTGGCGGTTGTCATTGGGGCGACCTTCTTCACGAATGTCTTGGCAGCGTCCCTCGCTGGTGCGTATCCTTTTCGGTCCCTTGCTCGTTCACTCATCCTTCCTTGCAGCTGGACGCATATGGTGGATCTCGCACCGCGCTGCATTGTTCCTTGGCAGGGACTCTCGCCGGAAATACGATAATTTGACGGCTATTCTGTGCGTTGCCCGCGTATTTCTGTGCTGCCTAAATCTTACTGTAGTTCGTTCGATGAAGTTTGGAAAGTGGGCTCA